ATTTATCTGGTGAGTGGGGGTCTCGTGATGTTTTTAAGTCCGGGGCTCATCATGAGACTTATCACAGTCTGCTGGCAACTCTCTCTATCACATGTCATATTCTGGTTGAAAACTCCAATCAATATGTGATCTCCAACTCATCCCTTTAAAGCCTGATCCGAGACAAATAGGAAGAATATTGGATTTTTTTAGTCTGAAGTCTTTCTTTGGCCCCTCAACAACATATGAAAAAGAAAAACAGATTTTTTTTTTAAAGAAGTAGTGGTTAGTTACGATCATTTTAGAAAATGCAATAAATAAATCAGCGATACCAGCATTAGCTGTTGCTGCTCTTACAGGATTGTTTTAGTTAAACCTGCAAAAATATGGGAATTTTGTAGGATTCTGATCAACGTCTTACAGCAGATGCTCATTTTGGTGTCATAGGCGGAGGCTTTTTAACCCTTTAAAGCCTGATCCAAGAAAAATAGTAATATTGGATTTTTTTAGTCTGAAGTCTCTCTTTGTTCCCTCAACAAGATATGAAGAAAAAAAAACAGAAATTATTTTGATCAAATTAGTGTGCAATGAGTCAGAAATCTATGTTGGTGTGGTCTTCTACTGGCTGTTATCAGGTATATCTGAATGTGTACAACAGGGGTTTGAGCAAAGCTTTTACCACTGAATGATGCAGAAAGTCTCACATCCAAAAGAAACCCGATCAGATATGACACATTTGGCTTTATAGGGTTAAGATGGGAATGATTTATCCAGTAGTACACGCTACAACACACTCCTCCTCATACCTAAACCCCCCACATCCCCCCAAAGCTTTTTCAAACCCAGACGAGGTGTGCATTCCTGACCAGCTATCCAACACCGTCACAGGAATCTGAAATTTCATCCCCCTCCCACTTTTCTCCCATCCAAAACTACACACACACACACACAGAAACACACACAAAAACACACACAAAAACACACACAGAAACACACACAGAAACACACACAGAAACACACACAGAAACACACACACACACACACACAGAAACACACACA